GAAACAGTTTCATTTTGATTGTGTTGAAGAGGAAGTGTGGTATCTTCCTGCTAAAGTTTTGAAATCAATTAACAATCAGCTCAGTGTCTTCCCTCCATAAAGTTATAGTTGGGTTAAACTATTTTTAGTATATCTGATGGAAAGAATATATATAGACTTTGAAAAGTCCTGGCTTCATATTTTGTCTCAGACATATGCTATTTGACCTTGAGGAAGTTTCTTGTTTTTTGTGTTTTTTTTTTTTTTAAGGCCATAGCTTCTTTTTCTGAGAAATGGAACAACAACGTCCACCAGGGATGATCATAACAAGGATTGGAAATAATATAAATTAAGTACTCAATACTTAATAGACATGGAAATATCATTCATTATTACTTAAATCATCAGCTTTGTTGTTTTTCTCCCAGTTTAGAGACTACAGCTTCCTCAACACTGTTTACATTTATTAAAACCAATTTTGAAATGTTAATTATGTGATAATTCAGAGATAGCAGTTCTTTATCTTCCTAAATCATTCTTAGCATATCCTGTACATACTCTGCTGCTTGATCACTAATACTACGTTTGGAGAAATTCCAGACAGACTAAGCATGAACTGAATTGACTTGAGACAGTGATTTTGGCAAACTGCCAGTTAACTTTCAGCCTGGATTAAACTTCGAGATCTAAAAGGAAACAAGGCCATTTTAGTTATTGTAGTCAAAAGTAGAAAATTGGAAGAATGATTTCATTCTGGGCCTTTTTAGGACTAAGTTATACCTTATGTACGATTTAAAAAATAGAACTTAATGTAAATTTGAACTTTAGGACCCTTGATAATTGGATATACATATTTGCAGAAAGAGAGTTGGGACTCATTGTAGCAGCATTGAGAGCATCACTTTGATGGTGTGAATGTTGGCTAGGCAGGATCCATCTTTCTGACCTTTCCTCTTTTTTTCTTTTTGAGTTAATTTTCTTATGTGATTGTGAAAAACATTTTCATGGTTTCAAAGGAAAAACTATACAACAAGGTACATTCAAGGGAAGCCTAGCTTCTAAGCTTATGCGGTTTGCTCACTGTTCTCTTCCTCTCCGTACAGGTAATCATTTTTGTTCGTTTTTGGTTTATTCTTTTTTAAAAATGAAAGTAAACATTTTATCTTCCTTTGCTGATAAAAGGCAACATTATATTTACATTGTTCTGCACCTTTTTCACTTATTCCATGGCATGAGTAGATCTACTGTTCTACAACTGCATAGTACTCTGTCATAGAGATGTATCATAGTTTATTTTATTTTATTTTTTACACTTTTTTATTGAGTTATAGTCATTTTACAATCATAGTTTATTTAGTTTGCTTCCAGTCTTTTACTATTACAGATAGTATTTTGCAGTATATCTTTGGGATAAATTCCTAGAAATGAGATTACGGGTCATAGTTTAATTTTCTTGTTTCTAGTTGTGGCCTTTTCTACTTAGGGAAGTTCCGTTAGTATTTGTTGTAAAGCTGGTTTGGTGATGCTGAATTCTTTTAGCTTTTGTTTATCTTTGAAAATCAACTGATAACCTTGGGAGTTCCCTTGTATGTTATTTGTTGCTTTTCTCTTGCTGCTTTTAATACTTTCTCCTTGTCTTAATTTTTGTCAACTTGATTACTATATTCCTCAGTGTGTTCCTCTTTGGATTAATCCTATATGAGGCACTCTGGGCTTCCTGGATTTGGATTACTATTTCCTTTCCCAAGTTAGGGAAGTTTTTGGCTTTTATCTCTTCAGATATTTTTTCAGGTCCTTTCTGTTTCTGGGACCCCTATAATGGAAATATTAGTGTACTGTATGTTGTCCCAGAGGTCTCTTAAACTGTCTTCATTTCTTTACATTCTTTTTTCTGTTCTGCAGTAGTGATTTCCAATACTCTACCTTCTAGCTCACTGATCCGTCCTTCTGCCTCAGTCTACTCTTGGTTCCTTCTAGTGTGTTACTCACTTCAGTAATTGTATTCTTCACCTCTGGGTATTCTTTATATTTTCTCTTAGCTAAAAACTTCACTCTATGCATCTATTCTCCTCCCAAGTTCTCTGATCATCTTCACAATCATTACTCTGAACTCCTTCTCAGGTAGATTGCCTATCTCCTCATCTCTTATTTCTTCTGGGATTTTATCTTGTGCCTTTGCCTGGAGCATATTCCTCTGCCACCTCATTTTGTCTGAATTTCTATTTGTATTTTTATGTAAGTTTGTTACATTTCTTGACCTTGGAGAAGTGGCCCTCTGTATGAGATGTCCTAAGGTGTCCCAGCAGTGCATTCCCCTCTCATCACCTGAGAGCCAGAGTCCAGCTGATTCCAGTGTAGAGTTTGGCCTGCATTTGTGGACTCCTTCCACAGGCTGTGGGGTTGTTACTTTCTTTCTTCTGATGTCTCCCCCTGGTTGGTGAGGCTGGACTAGAGGCTTGTGCAGGTTTCCTGGCAGGAGGGGTGGATGCCTGCCCTTGCTGGGTGGAGCTGGGTCCTGGCCCTCTGGTGGGGAGGGCCCTGTCCATGGGTGTGTCTACAGGCGTCTATGGGCTCAGCAAGTCTGTTGATGTGTGAGGCTTTGCTCCCACCCTCTATGTTGTTTGGCCTGAGGTGTCTCAGCACTTAAGCCTACAGGCTGCTGGGTGAGGCTAGATCTTGGTGCTAATGACCCAAGCAAGATGTCAGCCTCCAGGAAAGCTCGTGTAGATAAATATTCCCCTTGTGTCCACCACTAACTTTTATGTCCCCAGGGTGAGCCACAGCTGCCCCCTATGTCCCCAGGAGACCTTCCAAAACAACAGGCAGGTCTGGCCCAGGTTCCTATGAAATAAATCTCTGCCTCTGCCCTTGTTCCTAGTGAATGTGAGATTCTGTGTGCACTCCTTAAGAGAGTGAAGTCTGTTTCCTCCAGTCCTGTGGAGCTCCTGCAATTAAGCCACATTGACCTTCAAAACCAAATGCTCTGGGGACTCCTCTTCCTGATGCCATTAGCATACAGTTGACTCTTGAACAAGGCATGGTCCACTTATATGTGGATTTTTTCAATAGTAAATATTACACTACTACATGATCTGTGGATGCAGAACCATGGATATGGAGTATAGGGAGGACCAGCTCTCAGTTACACAGATTTTTGACTGGGCCAAGGTTTGGTGCCCCTGACCCTTACATTGTTGGAAGGTCAACTGTAGTTTTAATTAGTATTTCTCTTACGAGTGAGATTAAATTTCCTTTTACTTACACTTTTTTTTAAACATTTAAAAAATTAAAGTATAATTGTTTTACAATGTTACATCAGTTTCTGGTGTACACCATAGTGATTAAGTTATATATATATATTCTTTTTCATTACAGGTTACTACAAGCCATTGAATATAGTTCCTTATGTTACAGAGTAGGACCTTGTTGTTTATTCTGTAAATAGTAGTTTGTATCTACCAATCCCAAACTCCCAATTTATCCCTCCCCACCCCCTTTCCTCTCAGTAACTAAAGTTTATTTTCTGTGACTGAGTCTTGTTCTGTTTTGTAAATAAGTTCGTTTCATTTTTTTTAGTTTTCACATATAAGTGATATCATATGATATTTGTCTTTCTCTATCTCACTTACTTCGCTTAGTATGATCTTTAAATCCATCAATGTTGCTGCAAATAGCATTATTTCATTCTTTTTTATGGCTAACATTCCATTTTATATATGTACCACGTTTTTCTTTATCCGTTCATCTGTTGGTGGACATTTAGGTTGCTTCCATGTCTTGGCTATTGTAAATAGTGCTGCTGTGTACATTGGGATGCATGTATCTTTTCGAATTATAGTTTCCTCCGAATGTATGCCCAAGAATGGAATTGCTGGATCATATAGTAACTCTATTTTTAGTTTCAGGAACCTCCATAATGTTATCCATAGTGGCTGCACCAATTTACATTCCCACCACAGTGTAGGAGGGTTCCCTTTTCTCCACACCCTCTCCAGCATTTATTATTTAGGCTTTTTGAAGATGGCCATTCTGACAAGTGTGAGGTGATACCTCACTGCAGTTTTGATTTACATTTCTCAAATAATTAGTGATATTGAGCATCTTTTCATATGCCTGTTGGCTATCTGTATGTCTTCTTTGGAGAAATATCTATTTAGATCTTCTGCCCATTTTTTGTTTGGGTTTTTTTTTTTTTTTGATACTGAGCTGTGTGAGCTGCTTGTATATTTTGGAAATTAATCCCTTGTTGGTTGCATCATTTGCAAATATTTTCTCCCAGTCTGTAGATTGTCTTTTCATTTTGTTTATGGTTTTCTTTGCTGTACAAAAGCTTTTAAGTTTAATTAGGCCCCATTTGTTTATTTTTGTTTTTATTTCCATTTACTCTAGGAGATAGATCCAAAAATTATTGCTGCAATTTATATCAAAGAGTGTTCTGTCTATGTTTTCCTCTAGGAGTTTAATAGTGTCCAGTCTTAGATTTAGGTCTTTAATCCATTTTGAGTTTATTTTTGTATATGGTGTTAGGAATGTTCTAATTTCATTCTTTTACATGTAGCTGTCCAGTTTTTCCCAGCATCACGTATTGAAGAAATGGTCTTTTCTCCATTGTATATTCTTACCTCCTTCACTTATACTTTTTGAATTAACTTCATATTTATGCTAATTTTTTTTAGGAAGTATTTCTTGATTATTACTGCTCTTACTATCTTAAATAATTATTCTGAATTTTTCCCCCTAGAGGAGGTAATAGTCACTCAAGAAAAAATGTTACCTCGCACGTATGATTAAATTAAAAAACTTTTTTACCTATTTCTTGTATTCAAAGATGTCAGTCTAATTTGAGCAAGAATATTTGCATGAAGATCATCATGGTTCAGTGAAATAAATGCTAATGGAGATAGATAAATACCAAGTTCTGTGGGAGCACTGAGATTGGGACGGAGTGACTTGCGTATCAGGAAGGCATCAGAAAGATTATTGGTTAGCATATGAGGTAGTTTTTGGATTGAGTCTTTCAGGAAGAGGAGAAGATTGCTAGACTGACCCTGCCTGGAATAGTATTACTGCCAGAGGAAACAATGCCATGGAAGAATATGGTGTCTGAGGATTCACAGGTCACCGGGTTTTGTGGGTGGGGTGGGTTTGAGGCTGCAGCTGGACCATGTGGATTTACTAAAGCCCCACTTCTTGACCCTGAACTCACTTCTGAATTTAACCACAACTATGCCAACTTGAAAAATTTGATTCAAATATTCACGTTTCTGTTTTCTTAATTTTCCCCCTAAAGCATACATCCCCTTCTGATAACCTTCCCACTCCTCACATTTTTGAATAAATTTGGGAGGATAACCCTGGGAGGTAGAGTGATTTCATTCCCTCCTTCCCATTTTATTGTTGAGCAAGCCTGAAGTCTTTATTTTTCATCTATGCCATATTTTTAGCTTATTCTTACCACTTATTGCCAAGTTTGAGGCTCCTTACTCAGTAGCTTGTTTCGTTACATTGAGAGAGAAGAATCTGGCAAGGTGAGGGTGATCATGAGAGTCGATAAGGCTGGGAAGGTAGGCAAAGGCTTGGCTAGTCAGTCAGAAGCCTTATATCTCACTTTGAGGAATTTGTATTTTATAGTTGAGAATCTCTAAAAATCTGAAATGGATGAGGGACAGAGGGGTTGGAGGAGGGGAATGACAAGATTAGCTTTACATTTTTGAAAGATACCTTTTTTTTTTTAAAGATTTTTAAAACCTTTATAGTTACTGGCTAGAGAGGCCCTCATTCCATCTGACAAGTAAAAATCACGCTTAGAATTTTAAAAATTCTCTTAACCCTCCTCATAATGTTTTTTTGATGACCAACATAGAAACTGAAAAGGATTACAGAGAGGTTGAGACCCTTGCAGTTCACACAACTAATTGGTGTTTGCCAGTAGTCATGTTTTATTTCAGTGAAAAGGAACTGTAGAACAGATAGTCTAGACTTGTATATTATTTGGTAACCCTTCCTAGGATGTTACTCTGTGTCCTACATGAGGACAGCTGCTGCAGATTACTGAGCAATGACTCTGATGCAGAGAATTTGGGAAGGAAAACCTTAGTCTAGCAGCCACTATTTATGGCTGGGCTGGAAGCAATGTGGCTTAGGGGCCAGGGGCCAAGAAACTTGATGGAGAAGGGATTTCACTTAACAGCTGAGTGTCATCCCCTCCTCTGAGATCCTCTTTAACTGCTGTGGGAAGGCACTACAATGCCTGATAAAATGAAGTAAACTAGCTTCTTGTTAACCAGGAATGTCTCAAAATGGAGAAAAATAATTTGTACTGCAGATGTTAGCATTTGGGGGATCAGAAATGGCCTGTACTTGAACTTGCTGCTTTCTTGCTACAGAGCAGCTAGAAAAAGACAACACATCATACTTGAGTTTCTGTTAAGGTGGTGAACTAGCAAAGGTTGCTGGCTTTGCTCACCATGAAAATCAATTCTGGAAGAATTATAAGTCACAAAAATTTTGTTAAAATATTACTGGGGTGGTCTTGGCACCTTTGTAAATCATTTGACAGCATTGGCGAGGGTCTATTTCTGGCTTCTCTATTTTTATTCCTTTTGATTGTATGTCTGTATTAAATATGTTGAAAGGTAACTTTGATGACTGTTGAAGAAGATGGACTGAAGAAGGTACAGTGTAGACAAGAGAGCAGTGGTCCCCAGATCAGCAGAAGCATCTGGGAACTTACTAGAAATAGAGATTCTAAGGCCTCACCCCAGACTTACTGAATCAGTAACTCTGGGAGTAGTGTGCAGCAATCTGTTTTATTTGATTCTAGAACATGCCAAAGTTTGAGACTAGGGGTATGAGGGATGATGAGACTGTCTGTACATTACAGACATTACAGTTTGCAAATGCATTTCACATTAATTATGTAGTTGATTTTGTGAAGATGTTCATTATATTTGTGTCCTACATTCATAGTCAAGAGAAATAGAATAACTAGGCTTGTGTGATTTAGTTATTTATATGAAAGCCCAATATTAAGATTTGAAAAGCTGGGATAATGTGGTAATATACTTGGAAAAGGGAGTGAATCCAGGATCATGTGGAACAACAGACTATAGTCAAGGTGAAATTTTGTAGTAGAATAAAATAAGAGATACTTAATCTTGAATACTCTAGATGTTACCTGTATGTGACATTGATTTGTAATGTACTTAAATCTGCAGTAGGGAAAACTGAAGATACTATTTTTAAAAAAGGGACAGGGGAAACAGGAACTCTTTGTGGAGTGCAAAGGAAAGGATGGCTTTTTACCCAAGATTTGCTAAGATGCCCTATGCAAATGGTTCCACACAGCTATTAAGAGGTCTATTTTCATTCCTTCAGTAATAGCTAACAGCTGATTTGTATCTAACCCAGTTTTCACTTGTTTGTCTTTGAGGGTGTAAGGACTGTGGGTTTAAATTCCAACTTTGTTGAAATGGGGCTGAATAAATCTGATAATCTTCTTTATTTTCCTCTGTTAGCTTTGGTGGGTGACTAAAAGTACAGATAAAGCAAATGCATTGTAAATATCAAAATTGCATCTTTAAAGGATAAGTAATCTTTATTTTCTTTCAAATTTTATTCCAGGACCCATCAGTTACACAAGTGACAAGAAATGTCCCACCAGGACTTGATGAATACAATCCATTCTCGGATTCTAGAACAGTAAGACTATTCTTAATTGGACTACTTTTAAATATTAAAATTGAAATTAAGTAGGATTTCTGTTTCAATTATGGTTTCTTTTTTGGTTGGCTGGTTAAACTTACATAAAGCAAGCTATTAATGTTTTATTTAGAATTTAGCAAGTTCATTTTTTTTAAAAATAGGGATTAGTAGTGATTAAAAATTACTGTGATGGTCCTACAAATTAAATTGCTAATAACCTACCTAATATGTTAATATTACTACAGTTCTTTAAACAGAAGAGGGAAATTTTTTTTGGTATACATGTTGTCTTCATGGTAATATGGGGCGATGTTTTCTTACAAAGAAGGACCTGTGTATGGAACTGTACTGTGAATATTTGTATGATTGTCATTTGAATTAGGTGATTTTGAATAGGATCACCCTTCTACTCTGGTAGACTAGAACCTCTGGAATTTTGTTGTTTTGGGGGGTAATTAGGTTTATTTGTTTATATTGTTATTTTTTATTTAATGGATGTACTGGGGATCAAACCCATGCTCTTGTGTGTGCTAGGCATGCGCTCTACCACTGAGCTGTACCCTCCCCCCATAGAACCTGTGGAATTTTATCTGGCCTAGGAACATATTCTCAAAATTTAGTATTGATTTATAAAATGAAGGAGTATGAAAAAATCCTCATAGTACAGGGTTCTCTACTGAATACATATTAGAAGCAACTCAGGAAACTTTATTACAGTATCCATTAGGGCCCTAATCTTTCACGGTGCAGTTTTGTTTGTTTGTTTTTGTTTTAGTCCTTTTGATGATTTTATTGTGAGCCAGTTTTGAGGACGACTGAGCTAGGTTCTGTTGAGAATTCTCCCTCAAAATTTCTCTCGCAAATAATTTTGTCTCCTGTATTTGAGTCTTTAACTTAAACATTACACTTACGAGGCCCCTAATTATAAACATTGTTGACTCTTGAAATGTTAGTCATCCTCTTACAAATAATGTTCTTCAGTTGTATGCTTGGAATTACACAGCAGCATAAGGATATTTACCTGATCATGTCTTCCTGATGTATGTTTTTCATAGTCTTGAAAATAATTCTAGAAGATTATGTAGGCTTTTGCTTGGAAATTTCTTAAAGATGTATCAACTTTTTAGTTTGAGGAAGAGCTTTGTACAAAGTAAAAGAACTGAAAAGTGTGAACTTAAATTTAACTTTATTTCAAAGCCCTCCTTAAATAGCCTGCATCTGCAACCCAGGCTGGGATCATTGAGTGTTCATTGAGCATGTAAATTTCAGATTGAGCCCTGTGAAATGACCAGTAAGTCAACCAGTTTTGATGTGTACAAATGGCAGTCTCATATGGCTCAACCTTATAGTAAGCTGTGAGAGTGTATGAGAGTGCAGTTTGGTAGGAATTGAAAGGGAGAAAAAGAAGAGCCTGATATATTTTATTCCACTATGTGTAGATCTTCTAACATGATTTCTGGTGGGGAATGGAGATGGGAACAAAACTTTTAAAGTTTGCTGGTAAAGAATAAAAAACGGTTTTTATATACTTTTTTTGGAAGATTTCACTAGCAAAAAATATGCTTAACCTTACAGTAGCAGTGCTAGATGATTCTTTTCAGTACTAGCAGTGTTCTTTAGCGAGCTGTCTGCCTTGTGCCATGTGCTTTGCCTATATTATCTTATCAAATTCTTATAACAACATTCAAAATGGATACTTTTTGTTTCCAATTTACTGATAAAGAATCTGAGCCACAAGTCATCCAGCTGGTAAGTTACTGGCAGAACTGGTTATGTAACTCATCTGTTTTTGTAAAGTTCCTGCCTTTTCCATTTTGTCTTTAGAGTAGATGCCTAAGAAATAGAAGATAAAGTCTTGAGTCTGTGGACAATTTCTCACCTAATTGGAATTTTAAAAAGTTAAACAAAGAAAGTATATCCAGGAAAAATCAAACAAAAATGTAAATTATGGTTCTAAATGTTGAAACTTTACAGTCTAGGAAAGGTTTTCTGAAAGAGAAAGGCAATAATGACAGCCAGCTTACAATGAAACACTTCTCTTAGACTCAGTGAGCCTTTTTTTTTTAAATAATGCAAAACAGGTTAATTTGTATGCCAACAATGAGGATTAGGATTCTAGATGAAAAAGGAAAGCAGTCTTGTGTTAAATGGAAAAGATCAAGATTTCTGGACTTGGGACCTGCTAGTTGGAAGACTTGCTGTGTTGCCTTCAGATGTTGTCTCTTTACCTGATGCAGCCTTTCAGCCTGTCCATCCCCCTTTGCTGTCTTCTCTAATTCCTCCTGATAGCCAAGCTGGTATTCTAGATAGCTTATATTCCTGCTCTGTCCACCCAGAAACCTTTTCATGGAGCGTTTTTTGGCTTGTTTTTTTCCGAGAAGCCAAGGCCTTCAGGTCTTGCAGGAGCCTGTTTAACGTGTTCTCCAACTGCAGAGCAGACTCTATAGCTTTTATGCCAGTTTCCCAGTTTTCTATAACTAGCCTCTGTTGGAGAGGAACAGAGGAGTCACTCTCCTACCTGAGGCATACATAGGTTGATTACTTACTACTTCCTGGGTAAAATTATAACTAGGTTTGCAGAGGTCAATAGTTTCCACACTTTGTGACACAATAGACTTGGCAAGCACCTTTAATACTGATGTCTGGCTATAGTTACTATAGTGATACGGTGTCAGAACCGGGAAAATCATTGTTATGAGAACATTTTTGCATTTTCCACTGAACTTTTTACATAATGGAAAATACAGATGAAATAATTTAAAAATTAAAAATTCTTTTGTTTGCTGTATGGTTTCAGAAATTTGTCCTCCTCCCCCTTTTTCTTTGTTCAGCTATGACTATTTTCCAAAACAGATCAGATGTACTTGGATAATTGATTTGAGTGGTATGTTAGAACTCGGTCCAGGTACTATTTTAGGTGGTATCCATATTTGTCTTAGAAAAACATTTGTGAAAATAAAACTTCTAGATTGTTGCATAAGAACTGCTTGAGGTCAAGTAGGACAATCCTTCAGCAGAATGAGTATATAATATTGTTACGCTTTTAGAGAGTTCCTCTCTTATTTTTTTTTAAATTCTTTTGTTAGGTTTCCTTTTATATTAGTTTTCTATTTGAATGTAAATTTTAAGGAAGGCAACAATTAAATATTTAAATAATTTACATATTAATTCACTGTATTATAAATTCAGAGAAAGGAGTCCTCATAAAACACCGTAAAGTATAAACTCAGTCAATCTGTTGGCAGCAGAGTAGAAGGCTATTTGGCACTTGAAATGTGGTAGTCTGAACTGAGATGTGCTATAAAATGGAAGGTAGTCTTTGGTTATGAAATAATTTTTTTGTTTGAACTCAAAATGCATTTTACCACGAATTGTTTTCAGCATGGTGGGTAGGTTCCCTGGACTACCCTCTACAACTTAATACTAGAAGAATTAGCTCATCCTTTAGAATTGGTATGCATTTATGGGGATATATTTTCCTTTTAAATCAGGCAACAGTTTAAAATGCCAACTGCAGCTGATTCTCACTGCTTTCAGACACTGGTCATAGCATTCATGGCTTCAGATAGGATTTCTTCTGGTAGGTGTTGAAATAAAGGGATAGGGAGATCTATGTGTGGGGGGGAAATGTGGTGCTGTTGATAAAATCCTTAGTGACATTTCTCAGGACCTAGTTTGCTTTCAAATTTTTTTTCTCTAGGGATAGGCTGCCTTGTTCTTTTTCTGTTCTGCAATTGTTGACGTATATGATTTTTGTCACATGAAGCAGCAAGATCTTTCTAAAGGAAGAAGCAAAAGTAGAAAATTCCAAGTACTGGCATGCCCAAGTAGTCATTTCTGAGCATAAAGGACATAGATAATTGATTTATATATAAATAAGAACTGCCTGTAACTAAGTTAATTCAGGACATGGAGTAGACTGAGTGTCATAAGACCTGGATTCTAATCTAGGCTCTGCCACTAGATGGTAACTTCAGACAAACCATCTAACCTCTTAGGGCATTTTTTTTTTCAATGTGTAACAGTGGCTGCAGAGAGGAGGATGTTGAGTTAAATGATTTCTTTCTTTTTTTTTCATTTTTTCAGTTTTATTAGGTAGAATTGTTACAGTTTGCATATATAGAATGTATTGCATGTAAATACATATACACAACATACTGCACATATTTTTAAAATTTACATACATGTACTGTTCATTGTTTCTAAGAAAATTTAGAGATTTAGCTTTTTAAACTTAGATTTATGAAAGGAATAAAGCCAACCACAAAATAAGAATTAGTTCAAAAAGATACATAAACCCAGATGTTGAGTTAAATAATTTCTAATTTCAGTTTCTCTTCTGAAAATGGATAAAACTTTTATTTCCAGGACTGACTGGTTATAATTGTATTTAGTAGTTTACCTATCATTAATACTGCAAAAGCAATTTCTGTACTGTAATACCTGTCTTTATTTTCTCTTGCCATATGTTTCTTTTTTAATCTTTTCCTTTTTTATTTGCTTCTCACTGTCTTGTCTTTCTTGGAGCTTGTTATCTGTCCTTTCTGGAACCAGTCTTTGTTTCTAGTCTCATTTAATCATAACTGTTGCCTTCTGTCCTTCTAGTGTCATTGGCTGGAAGTACCTGAGTTCTCTTTGGCTCAGACAGCTTCTTTTCCTGTATCTAATCAGTAGCCACGTCCTGTCACTTATACCTCCAGGAGGTATTACCTGTCCTTTTCATTCCTCCTGAACTGTCCTAATTCAGGTACTCATGTGAGATAATACAATGGCCTATCTACTTACCTGTCTTCAATTTCTCTTAACATCATTTTTTTTGTATTGTGATTAGAATTAATTTTTTTAAAAACAGAGTTCAGATTAGGTCTTCTCTCCTTAGAAATGTGTACACTGATTATGCATTGCCTCCTTGGTAGTGTGCCATGTGGGGCCCTCCATGATTTGACCTCAGATTATCTTCTTTTATTTTTTTCTTGACTTTATTTATTTATTTATTG